TGACCAAGTGACTAGTACCATCTGTAGGTCTTGCTAGTAGAGAATGCAAACAATAGTTACACTTTGCTTTATGTAGACCATTGATTAAAACCTTTTTATAAGATGCCCGAACTTTTGAGGTGCATTTTCTCTTAAAATTTCTTTTGTTTTAGGTAATACTCTTAACTCAAATGAAAGTGTTCAATATCAATAATTGGAGTGACACCATTTGCGTTTTTTACATCTGACATATCTGTAAAAAAAAAATGAAATAAAAAAATAGGCAATATCTAAAGAAAAAGATTAGTTTTGAACCTTTTATAACTTACGTACTTCTTTAGTCTTTTTCTTTGACGTAATGAAATTTTTGAAACTAAAAATAAAGTTTTTATGAGAAGATTCTTTGATAAGACGACTTTTTTTTAAACAATCGGGTTTTTATATATTTCGAAAGTCATCATTAGATGTGAATTTTTGCAAGATGTCCCTTTGTGAAATGAACAAACAAAAGCAATCCATTAAATAAAAAACTTACAATGATAGAATTTTAGTTACAAATTACACTCCATAAAACCTGTTTTTAACTTATTTTGTTTGTTAAAGACAGTTTCCAAATCAAATTTTAATTTAATTTATTAATAATTATTAATATATTAATAATAATATTTTTTAAGAATGCATAAAATCTGTTTTTATAATCTGGTTTATAAACCTTTTTGAATATTTCAGAAATTATTTTTTTCATCGGCATACGTCTAATATACGCTTTATCTTAAATACGCCTTATATTAAATAAGCTATAATAAAAAAATTATATAAGAAAATTATAATAATGAAGACATATTAATTAAGAAAATGTTTCTCATGTATAAAGGGTCTGAACATTTTAAAATCCATACCCGACCTGTTTGGTTATCAGGTCTAACGGGTATGGGTCTAGTGGGTTTTGGGTCCAAAAAATGAGACCCAGACCCAGACTTAACGGGTCGAGTCGGGTATGGGGTAGACCCAACCCATTACCAGTCTAATTACGTTAAGATCAGTTACTAATCTGTAATCAAAAGAAAATCAAAAAAACAAAGTAAAAAATAAATATGTACAAGAGAGTTTGGGGGGGGGGGGAATACAGTGAGTACGTACAAGGTTTAACTATCTCTCTTCCTTTATCTCTCCTAAAACTTCATTTCTTTTTTTATTAACAAAAGCATTAATTTTTGGGAGTTAAAAAAAATCAATATTTTGTTATATAACAGAGTTATGTCGAATTAAACAAAAAAAAATTTAATACTTTGAAAAATTTATGCGTTGGTACGTACACAGTAATGGTTAAAAACATATGTGCATACATGAAGAGAGGGACTCTTAAATCAGTGGTTCAGTGGTTTTTTTGTATATGTACTTTACGGATGTCACCTAAAAAAAGTGTACCTTGAATGAAATGTTTTTCAATATCATATCTTTTTTTTATGAACCTTTGTTATAATATATAAATCTATAGAAGAGGTATAAAGAAATGTTTTTTTCTTATGTTATACATTTTTTTATACAGATTTTTCATAGAGTTAACTTTTTCATCTTAAGTATCGGTCGCAATAAGTACGTTATTGCTGTTTATTGTTGTTCACACGCGGTAAATATTTCCACTGAATATATATTCAATTCTGAACAACCTAAGTGCATAATAAGCAATATAATACAATACAATATATGCAAATACAATATAATAGCTATATACAAAACACACCCACAATGTTCCTTTTGATGCAATGATTATATACAATTTATATGCAATGTAAACATTAACAATGATTACAACACTCCTTGATCACAGTTTTGGCAAAATATGTGCGTAGTTTCCACTCAAGAGAGTACAGCTCTACTGGGAAGCGATGTTTTTTTGCTATTTATTCTTAGCATCAAATAATACCATTACACCATTTTTAACTAATTTTGACGCTCCTGGCTGATTGTTTGATGATGACGTTTAACAATTCTATTTTCAGACGGCCTGTAAGCACAAAGATTGAGAACGGACGCTCCCTATTTAGCGTATAATTCACGCACAATATTTAAAGAATAATTTTTTTAAATGGAAGCACACAGTTATTTCTTTCTCGTTTAGCAATTTTCTCTAAATTGAAAATTTGCTCTTTTTATCACAATTAACAATTGATAAATAAATCTTCGATTTGTAATGTCACCCGGTGGGAAATCGGCTAGCGAATAGCTAGCTATAATCGTTACGATAAAGACAGCGATTTGGCCACGAGGATCAATAACTTTTTTAAGTTAGGGAAAAGCTATCAATATTTTTAAAGATGAAAACAGCGATTTGGCTACGAGGACAGCTAGCTTAATAAGCTGAAGATCTAATGGCTGTTGTACCTAGTGTCATATCGTAATAAAATCGTTGTTTAAAAAACTTTGATATGTAGCTATCAACCAGCTATAGATTTGTAGATATTTAGTAGCTAGCTACAAAGCTACGATATGTAGCTAGCGACACATTGCTACAAAATTGTAATGTTTAAAGTTTAATTATTTTCATAGTTACTATAGACTCAACACTAAAAATCGAATTTTTAAAGATGTTAAGGACATTTGCAAAAAAAAAAAAATAAGAAAAAAAATCGCTAGAAAATCGCTATAGAGCTAGCTAGTCGCTAGCTAGTCACTAGCTCATTTCCCACCGGGCAATTGCTAGACAATGCATTTTTTACTTTATCACAATCTTCTTTAACATCCTCGGTTAGACCTTCAGTACTACATTGTAAATCACCAACATTTTGAAGTTTGTTACAAATTCCGATTTCTGGATTCACTCTGAAAATTTACTAAAATTATTGTACTGTTCCATAAAGCCTGCAAATTTTATAACTATGCTTACAGCCAAAAAATTATTTGCTATTTTTTGTTTCTCACACGCTCTATTAAAATTCCACTGAATATCTATAGAATTCTGGGGGCATAAAAAGCAACATAATACAAGTCAGTATATCTAAATACAATAGAACAGTTATATACATAACACAACCGCAAAGTTGCTTCTGATCCAATTAAAAATACAACTTACATACAATGCAAACATTAACACTTATCACAGTATCTAGAAGTTTTCTTTTTTTCATACTTTAACTAATTTCAACCTAAGTGCATAATTGCTTATTATGCACTTAGGTTGTTTAGAATTGAATATATATTCAGTGGAAATATTTACCGCGTGTGAACAACAATAAACAGCAATAACGTACTTATTGCGACCGATACTTAAGATGAAAAAGTTAACTCTATGAAAAATCTGTATAAAAAAATGTATAACATAAGAAAAAAATATTTATTTATACCTCTTCTATAGATTTATATATTATAACAAAGGTTCATAAAAAAAAGATATGATATTGAAAAACATTTCATTCAAGGTACACTTTTTTTAGGTGACATCCGTAAAGTACATATACAAAAAAACCACTGAACCACTGATTTAAGAGTCCCTCTCTTCATGTATGCACATATGTTTTTAACCATTACTGTGTACGTACCAACGCATAAATTTTTCAAAGTATTAAATTTTTTTTTGTTTAATTCGACATAACTCTGTTATATAACAAAATATTGATTTTTTTTAACTCCCAAAAATTAATGCTTTTGTTAATAAAAAAAGAAATGAAGTTTTAGGAGAGATAAAGGAAGAGAGATAGTTAAACCTTGTACGTACTCACTGTATTCCCCCCCCCCCCCAAACTCTCTTGTACATATTTATTTTTTACTTTGTTTTTTTGATTTTCTTTTGATTACAGATTAGTAACTGATCTTAACGTAATTAGACTGGTAATGGGTTGGGTCTACCCCATACCCGACTCGACCCGTTAAGTCTGGGTCTGGGTCTCATTTTTTGGACCCAAAACCCACTAGACCCATACCCGTTAGACCTGATAACCAAACAGGTCGGGTATGGATTTTAAAATGTTCAGACCCTTTATACATGAGAAACATTTTCTTAATTAATATGTCTTCATTATTATAATTTTCTTATATAATTTTTTTATTATAGCTTATTTAATATAAGGCGTATTTAAGATAAAGCGTATATTAGACGTATGCCGATGAAAAAAATAATTTCTGAAATATTCAAAAAGGTTTATAAACCAGATTATAAAAACAGATTTTATGCATTCTTAAAAAATATTTTTTTATTAAAAAGACTTTTTAAGTTAAATTAAAATTCGATTTGGAAACTGTCTTTAACAAACAAAATAAGTTAAAAACAGGTTTTATGGAGTGTAATTTGTAACTAAAATTCTATCATTGTAAGTTTTTTATTTAATGGATTGCTTTTGTTTGTTCATTTCACAAAGGGACATCTTGCAAAAATTCACATCTAATGATGACTTTCGAAATATATAAAAACCCGATTGTTTAAAAAAAAGTCGTCTTATCAAAGAATCTTCTCATAAAAACTTTATTTTTAGTTTCAAAAATTTCATTACGTCAAAGAAAAAGACTAAAGAAGTACGTAAGTTATAAAAGGTTCAAAACTAATCTTTTTCTTTAGATATTGCCTATTTTTTTATTTCATTTTTTTTTTACAGATATGTCAGATGTAAAAAACGCAAATGGTATCACTCCAATTATTGATATTGAACACTTTCATTTGAGTTAAGAGTATTACCTAAAACAAAAGAAATTTTAAGAGAAAATGCACCTCAAAAGTTCGGGCATCTTATAAAAAGGTTTTAATCAATGGTCTACATAAAGCAAAGTGTAACTATTGTTTGCATTCTCTACTAGCAAGACCTACAGATGGTACTAGTCACTTGGTCAAACACTTGAGGACTAAACACTTACAAGTTTGTTCCCCAATAAAAAGTCAAGCCTTTTTACAGGGTGGTAAAGTATTAGTCGATGGTATTTTGGAGTCCAAAAGTTTTAAATTTAATAATGAAACAGGCAGAAACGACTTGGCCGGCGTGATAACACTTCACTAGTATCCTTTTTCAATTGTTGAGCATTGCGGTTTTAGAGAGTATAATTGCGATATACAACCTCTTTTTAAAATGGTTAGTCGACGTACAATAACAAACGATTGTTTGAAAATCTTCCATCATGAAAAAGAAAAATTAGTTTTACAAGTGTTTTGTGGACGTCTTTTCAAAATAAGTCCTACATTTTCTTTATCTGCCACTTTATTGAGAAAAATTGGAGACTAAAAAAGCATATACTTAATTTTATTGGTATTTATGCACCTCATACTCCAATAGCACTATATAAAACTTTATTTGAAAAGTTATACAAATGTAACATTGATAAAAAAAATCATGTGCGTTGTTCTAGATAACTATTCAACGCAATGGTTAGAATTCTTAAAGAGAAGTTGAATACTAAACTCGTCAGTGACGGTAATTTTTTTCATATAAGATATTCTGGGCATATTGTAATATTTGGCTGTTCAAAAAGCAATTGAAAGCATTAAACGTACAATACTAAAAGTTAGAGAAAGCGTGAAATATGTCAAATTGTCAACTTTGAAATAGCTTTGATGCCTTTATTTGTTTAAAAGAAATTGATTTAAGTTACACATATTTGCTTAATGAAGACGAGTAAACAAATGTTAATGGTTGTTTGTGACTATTTAAAGTAACAAACCTTTCCTCTACAGCAATAAATCCTACAGCAAACTAGGAAATGCGGAGGAAAATGATGGTAAAAATTTCAAAATATTGGAAAATTAGTGCAGATATGTTAGCCATTGCATCTGTGTTAGACCCGCGTTATAAAATGATCAGCGTTGAGTACTAATTTAGGTAAATTTATGGTGCTACAAGTAAACAGAAGTTATAAAATATTAATGAATCTTTTGCTTCTTTTTTATATTCAAAAAGGATTGAGAAATTCAAAAAACATGTAGCCTTAAATCTTCTTTCGAACTAAAAAATGAATGTTATACATAGATTATTGTTGATGAAAAAGGATTCGATATACTGGAATGGTCGAGACATGTTGGAGTCAGTTCTAAGACATCAAAAACAGTCCATATATAGTCAGATTTCTAGCTATACAATGTTTAGCAAGAGATATTTTGCCAATTTCGTTGTCTATTGTTGCTTCTAAGTTACAGGTGGTAGAGATCTTGATAAATATTGAAGTTCTATGATTCCAAGCACATTGGAACCCATTGTATGCTCAGAAGATTGGTTAAAATCTTCGAGGTATTTTAGTTTATATCCTTCAATTTTAATTTATTTACTAATTTCAATTTTTCAATTTAAAGAAAAAAACGTTACAGTGACCTCCATTAAACAAAACGAAAACAAAGCTCGGCTTTAATTTCTTAGGAAAAAAAAATACTATTGACCTTTGTCAATATGAAGACTTGTGCAAGATTTTGTTCGGAATTTACATAAAGTCTAACACTGTTATTAATAAATTTATTGCTATCTAACGTGTTTGTAAAATCATTCTTACCATTCTAAGGCCTTCAGTTTAAGACCCACGCTTAATTTAAACGTGACTCAAATGTTCAAAGAAAAAAAAAATGTCAACTAAAAAATAAGTCGAGTGGTCAGATTAATATGTACAACTACAATCTGAGAAGTATATTCAAACATGATGCATTCAACGTGATGCAAAGCTGGAAATAAAGTCCTGAAAGATTTTTTCGGATTTTTGAGTACGAATAAGACTGGAAAAGCATCTTGCATGAAGTATCTGTTCATAAAACATACTAAGCAGAGTCTTCTCAAGTTGATATAGATAATATTAAAAATTAAATAAAGGAAGCCACGAAAACCTTCAGACACTCTAAGGACATAAAGATTTCCTTTATATTTCCACGGCGTCAGTAGACACTTTATTGTCTTGCTCTTTTAAAAAACTTCCAAGATCTTCTGTTTTAGGTGTGTGATCGCGGGGGTATAAATGTAAGCAGTGAAGGCCTTTTTTGAGATAACTGATAGGTTTGGATCCCGACCCATTACCATCCCTAATTGTATGCTTACCTTTTAATGGTTGAACACGCTTGCTGATGAAAGCACGTTGAGGTGTAGTGATAAGCCAAATTTTGTCTTTTTTTAGCCCCGGTCATGTAAAATTTCTTTATATAACATGGCATTGTATTCTTTTTTTTAATGACAAAATAAAAAATAAATATTTGAACGCTTTTGAGTAACTTCTTTTCCTATCATACCTGTGTACGCAGTCTATGGAAGACCCTTAATTATAAATACATATTTTTAAGTAAATAAGTATATACACTCTGTTTTAATAATTAAATACAGTTAATTCCAGGTAAATCAAACTCCGTTTAACTCAAACTTTTGTTATCTTGAACTGTTTTTTGGGTCCCTTGAAACCGTTTAATTGATGGCTATTAAAGTTTTGCGGTTAAATCAAACCTCGGATAACCAATCTTTGTTAAGTCGAACCATTTTTTTGTCCCCTTTTAGCAAATTTCCAAAAAACTTGAACTTTCTTTTTGAAGTCATTCAATATAAAACATAAATAACAGTAGCGTAATATTTTCTATAACTTTTCTTTATATTTAAGTCTAAATAGACACAGTATGCACAATACGTGTTTAAGACGTTTAAAACATGTATTAAAACGTATTAGTATGTTTAAACGTATAAAACATGTCTTGTACCGACTGGAAAATAGATTATTATCAGACGTAATAATTCTACAGCAAAACTGTTAAAAAATAAATCGTAATAAAATAACGTTAAAAAAGCAATTATTTTGCAGTTTTAATAAATTTTATAGTAATTAATTGCTAGCTTTTAGACGCAACTTTATTACCAAATAAGTTTTATAAATTTATACAAGTATACGTATATAAACTATATAAAAACTTTATTTATAGGTTCTTGTTTACCATTTCTTTTATTTATAATTTTTTTTTATAAGTTACTTCTTAACAATGTCACACCTTTTTTTATTATCTCTTTCCTGTTAATTTGATAATGTATTTCATGCTCAATCGCCAAAATGACTGAATCGTTAAAACGATTTTGCATGGTAATGGTACGTAATGAGTTTTTAATAAAATTTTGATTTAAAGAATCTTTTTTTCCATCTTGCAAAAGTTACGGGTATTATAAGTAATATTCTTAAGTTAACACTAAAGTTCGGAACCAAATTTAACGTTTTTATTAATTCAAGCACTTTGTTAACGGTCTCTTTCTTTTTTTTAAAAGCACAGAAACTGCAGAATTTTCCTCTGCTAAATCTACTACATTCAGGTCAACTGAATTGCTATCAGTCACAATTGTTTGAAATCCTCTCAGTGTTTGAAGAGAGTTAAAGTTTTTATAAAAATATCAAGTGCAGATGTTATATCATAATCTTTCGTTTGCATCATTTGGTTGTTGGGTTAATACAGTTTAATATTTTATACCAAACAACTATTGAACTCAAAAACATAAACCATTAAATTAGTAAATCAAAGGCTTTGTCTATAATCAAATTGTCAATTTCTTAATTTTCATAAATGCTTAACTAAGCATTGTAAATATCTTCTATATGAAACCTTAAGGACTATATGGTATCTTTTCTACTTTTCCATTTTATATCACTTATTAGTTTAAAATTTAGTCTTGAACATGCTTTAATAGTATAACCCATTAATAAGTAGAAACCGAAAAAAATTATATCTTGTTTGGATCATTTTGAAGAATTTAGCGGCTTCAAAGGAATCTTTTGTTGTATCATTATGGATACTAAACGGAACGTAGCATGCTTGCGAGTTTAAATTTATAGTTCTAGATTTCACTCCTGCTTCATGGCCCCTCATATAGAACTCGTCTTTATATTCCAGCCGTATAAAACCCAAATTATTAAGTTCTCAAATCAAAATTTCAAACATTTGTTTTTCTTAGGGATTTCCAACTTGAAGGAAGTCCAGAGAGCGTTCGTTAGACTTTATTTCAGCCTAACTGGAATCAAATTTATTAATTAAAACATATCTAGTTGTAAGAATAATTTGCTCAACCTTACATAAGGAGTGCTATCTAAAATTATGGCATAGTATTTAGTATTTTTAATATTATTAGTTATATGAGATTTTACATTTGATGCATCGAGTTTAATATTTCGTTTTGTATGATATAAAAAGCGAGTTTTAAGGTGGTAGCAGGGGAAAAAAGAGGGGTTTTTTGAAATTTTTTGAAAATTTTAAAAATTATGTTTTTGAAAACATTAGGGTGTCTTTATTCATGTAAACTTGGTGTTATATAAAAAATCTTATGTATTCAAGCATAATTTGCCCTATTTTACTATTTTTGACTATTTTTGATGTATCTCAGTATTGAAACCTGATCTAGATATCTAATTTTCACCTTAAGGCTTCTTTTTGTTTTTTTAAACATTTTTTCTTTATTCAGTTTATAAACTATAAACTAAAGCCCCTAAAATCGTTTTAAATTCAGAGCTTTTAAATAAAGGTATTGTTTTTGATTCTTATTTTTTATTATTCTTATTATGGAAACGGTGCCCAAAAAGAGTATACATTAAAAATGATGCTTGCAGTTGCATATGCTCTTAATGCACACAATAATGGCGCCCATGGATTGCTCGAAGTCTTTAAAAAACTAGGCATAGAAAATGGGTATTTTACTATAGAAGGTTCAAGAAAATTTGATATTCAGCGTGTCAAGCAATCTGCAAAAAAGTCAACCAGCTCAGTAAAACATGGAAGAAAAAAACTGCTTGTAATCAGAAATGGTTTTAATGATAAAAATAAACTTTGGTGAGGAGAGACATATGCTAGTGGAGCATTTTAGTTTGTTTTTTTGAGTTTTAATGTTTTATTTTCATTTATTTGATTTTTTGGTTAGGTTTTAATTTTTTACGATGTTTGTGGTCTCTAAATAATTTCTTTTTAATGAAATTTAAAGTTTGACAGTGAACCTGGCGCGTTTGAAAGATATATTTTTTTTCTTACTTGCTTAGAACATAGTATTACTAATAAAGATTGCAATTTTAAAATTTCAGAAGATTCTGATCATTTTACACTAAGTTATCATTGTTGGAAATAACATATGAAAATAGATCAAAAATCTGTTTATGACATCTACAATTAATGACGTCATCATTAAATTTTTATGTAATTAGTGTTAACTGTTTTTGTTTTAAAAACGATTAAATTAAAACGATTTTTTTTTTTTTTTTGAAAAAAAAAGTGTTTTCCTCTGTTACAATAATATAAATAGTAATAATAACAACAATAGTAATAATAACAATAATAACAATAATAAAAGTAAAAGTAATAAGAATAAGATTATCTTTAATATTATAAATAATAAAATCAAAATGCAATTATTAGGAATAAATATAAATAATTGATTGAGGGAGGAGTCACTCATGCAGAATCCTGATCAAAGGAGTGACACCAAATAATTATATTAATAATATTAATTTAAAAAATAATAATAATAACAATAATAACTTTTTTCATTAATAGAGCAAAAGTAACAGCAAAAACAGTATTATTTATAATAATTGTAATAATAATAGTAATAATAAAAACAACAGTAATAAAAGTAATAAACATTAATGATAAAAATAATAAAGTTTCTATAGAAATAGTAAAGAAAAAAAAAAGAAAAAAAAAAGAAGAAAACTAAAGGAAGTTAATAATGATGAAAAATTAAAATACAATTTATTTAGAATTTGTTTAAGTTTATTTTGCTTTAAATAAAGAAATGAAGATAAATTATTTTGAAGTTGTAATTTTTCAAACTCATTCACGATGCACACAACACTTCGATTCCATTTACTAATGCACTGATGTGTAATTGAATGCTCACCATATCTCAAATGTAGGGGGGTACATTTAGTTTTCCATTATTGATGTTTCTAGTTAAATGTGAATGTATAAATTGAGTTTCAGTGAAGCAAGGTTGTAATAGAGAAAGGTAAATTTTTATTAAGGTCAAAAACAAAAAGAAGCAAATCTAACTTGTGCTGGCAAGGTAAGAATTTTAAGTTTTTTGAAGAAATTTGAAGGTTCTGTATATTGAAGTTGAAAATTAATTATTCGAATTGATTGGCGCTGAGCTGATTAATCAATTATTTTATAAATTAATTATATTGATTAATTGATTATAAAATAAAAAAATATAAAAAAATAGTATCAATAAAGTTTTAGCTTATAACCAAGCCGGTTTTCGAATAACAATACTATGGAAAATGAATTTATACTCAACCATAAAAATTCAAAACAAATAAAAATCAATTTATTTACAGTATTCGCTTGCATTATACAGTACTTGATATTAGAACTTACATTTCGACTAGAATTGTATCAGCTTTGTTTGTAAACTTGTTGTAAAATAGTTTGCAAATTTGCTATAAAATTAAGTTTTTTTAACTGATTGAAAAACGTTTTTAAAACAGTAGTAATTTAACTTAGTTTATAATACTGAAAATTTAATTTAAAGAGTATAAATTTACTTTTAAACTAATATTTTGGTATGAAGTAACGGAACGCATTTCGAAAAAACAATAAAACACTGGAACAACGTTCCGGCGCGTTCCGGTGCAAAAAAACACTTCTTTAGTGCCAGAACTGCTTTACAGCGCTTAACAACCTCACTGCTAATAAGCGCTGTAAATTAAATTTATTTCTTGGCTTTATATACAGACTTAGAGGCTTTTATAGAATGGACTTTTTTGATGTTTTATAAAACGTTATAAATTTAGACAGTACAATCTCTCTTATTTGAATCCCATTAATCTCTTCGAATTTGAATCTCCTTTACTTTGGAGATAATTTGACTAAGGCTCTTAAAGATATAAATCGTATCAATGACATGTAACAAGAAGCTCATAAAAGATAATCTAAATTTACTAACTTTTTTATGAAAATATAAAAGTTTAAAACATGTAATATATATTGCATTTAGGCCTAAGAAATGCTATTTGTTTGTTTGTTTCATTTTTATTCGTCACTTTGACAAGGTTGTTTGAAAAAAAGTCAACTTTCTATAATTCGAAAATCTCTCTATTTCGAACTTCTATTTTCACCCATAAAATTCAAATTAGAGAGATTGTACTGTAAAATGTTTCTTTTAATAGTATTTTAAAATTCATGTTTAATTACTTTTATAAGTAACCCAGCAAACATGTCTGCGTTGAATCAACGTTAATAACCGGTCGCAAAAGATGTTGCGGAAACGTTGACAAAGTAATCGATTTTGCAAAGTTATGTAACGTTGTTAAAGAGACGTTGATTAAACGTTGTAGCGTAACGTTGAAAAAACATTACTAAAAGACGTTACAAAAATGTTGCAACGAAACGTTAAAAAACCTTATCTTAAAAGCGTTGCATAGGATTCGCAACTTATCGTTGAAAAAGCGTTACTTGAAAAGCGTTACTTTATCGTTATTAAAGCAGTTGATTTTGCAAGGATTTGTAACGTTGGTAGTAAAACGTCGATTTAACGTGACTCAAAAACGTCGAGTAAAGATTAAAATATAACGTTAAATCAACGCTCAAATGCGCTGGAGAAAATATCGCAAAATATTATTAAACGTGATTAAATTTGGCTATAATGTATATTTAATTTGCAAATAAAACAAAATTGTATGTTTAACTCTGCACTTGCAATATTTCGAAAGTCGATTTTGAATGCAAATAGTAATATACAATATAAAACATTAAAAAAATACAATTTATTTATATAAAACTTACAATTTATAGATAAAAAATGTAAACATCTTTTTTAAGATTTATGTGAGTGAGTGAATTTACAGGATTTACGTGTGTGAGTAAAATTTATGTGTGTGAGTGGATTTACAGGATATCATATCAATAAGCCAGGATATCATTGAGTCATTAAGATACAGAACCTAAATCAATATATATATATATATATATATATATATATATATATATATATATATATATATATATATATATATATATATATATATATATATATATATATATATATATATATATATATATATATATATAATATACAGAGGCGGACTGGCCAGGTGGGACAGTGGGAATAGTCCTACTGGGCCGATGTTCCGAAAATCGAGTTTAAAAAATTTGAGAAACCTGGCTAACGCAAAAAACTCAAAATCAAACAAAAATTAGTTTGTTTTAGCAGCACAATGACTTCAAATGTATTTCTGTATTACTGAGCTTTCTAAAGCCGCCGGCCTGAATCATTTCATATTGATACTGTGCATTTTAATTTGTAAATATGAATTCTAAAAAACAAAAAGGAGGAGCGGCCAAAGAACGCGAAAAAAAAAATCATAATCATAAGAAACCAATAAATCAGACTGCAATAAATTCTACAGCTATAATTCAAAAGAATTATCTGTATAAAAGTGATTTAACAAGTGACGTTGATATTACTTTAAATTCATCCATTATTATAAATCAGGTAGACACAGCCACAGAGAATTTATTGGTAAGATTTTCAATATTATATTATTAAAAAAGGTGTCTATCTACATTATTATTTTGTACACCATTAATATACAATATTATAAGAATGTTATCGATTATACAAATTATGTATAAAAGTATATTTGTTCAAATTTTAGTGTGATAGTAATTCTACTGCAATAGTTCATAAGAATCATCTACATGAAGGTGATTTAACAAGAGATATTGATATTAATTTAAATTCATCCATTTCTATAAATCAGATATGCCCAGCCACAGAGAATGTATTGGTAAGGTTTTTAATATTAAATAACTAGTAACTGCTAATTATATTGGTCTTACAAACAAATTAAACGCTTTTTATTGCTAAAAGTAGGTTTTTATTATTAATTTAGGTTTTTAGCTTTTTATTATTAATTTAATTTGAACTTATATTTTAGGAAAGTGAATCTCTAGAGTATCATTTGCCATCTAATGATGAATTATTCAAACTAAACAAAAATCCTGATATCCTCCAAAAATTAAACTTCATCAAAAAACATTCTGTCCAGCCATCATTCTTCAGCAATATCCAACTAGATTTACAAAAGCTCTATTTTAGAAAAACATCAGATGGCAAAAAAATTTCACGAAAGTGGTTATCAGTCCTCTGTATTGATAATGAACTCAAAGCTGTATACTGTCCGTTTTGTATTGCATTCAGTTCATCTCCTACTACATTTTCTAATGGCTGTAATAATTTTAAACATATCCATGAAGTTGTTAAAATACATGAAGAATCGTTAACACACAGGCATTCAGTAGAAGCCTATATTCAATCGTCAAATGATAAGTCTGTTAAATTTGGTATTAATTAAATTATTATTTTGACTGAACTTTATGTTGGATTTTAGGTAACAACAAAAACAGCATACATGATACTAACAATTGTTTACAATGTGTATACAAACTTGTATACAATTTAAACATGCATGTCTCGGCTTATACTCAACTATGTGCTTCATATGAGTTTTTTCTAACTTTGTCAGTCACCGAAGTCAACTGCGAAAGGACATTCAGCAAACTTAAGCTTGTTAAAACAAGACTCAGAGCCAATATAAGTCAAGATAATTTAGAAGCACTCTTAATTATGAGTGTTAAAAAACAATTACTCAATGAAATTGAAATTTCAAATGTCATTGAATATTTAAAAGCTAGTTCTACAGTAATGACTAAAATGCTTTCAATATAAAATTGTCATTTAAGTTTTGTTTTATATAATTTAAGTATTTTCTTAACTATAATAAATAATAATGCATTAATTTGTATGGATTATGATTCTTCTTCTTCATTCTCTGGCATGACTACTCTCTAAGAGATTTTGCTGACATTACTAAACTTTGCCACCTATCTCTATCTATGAATTATATTATATGAAAAAAATTGTTTTGAGTCTAATTGTTGATTATCATGTTTTTTAATGTTGAAACTAGACCCATAGTATCAGTATGTAACATAACACATACCAGAGTACGTATTTAACCTAATTAAATTAAATTGTACATGCTATTTATAGGTACCTTATAACAATTAATTATATTTATTTATGATTTTTTTTGGGTGGGGGGGGTGTTTATTTTTTGGGGGGCTAATCACCCTTCAGGCCACCTCTATTTGGGCCGGTGACCGTGATTTCCTACTGGGCCGAACACCCCTCAGTACGCCTCTGTATAAATATATATATATATATATATATATATATATATATATATATATATATATATATATATATATATATATATATATATATATATATATATATATATATATATATATATATATATATATATATATATATACATATATATATATATATATATATATATATATATATATATATATATATATATATATATATATATATATATATATATATATATTGTGATCGTCGTAATAGCATAAAATAAATAATAGTAAATAAGTAATTGTTTTTAAAAATAACACTACGTTTTTTATTCTTGAAATGTTTTGTAGTAAACAACTGGGTTGATATCTGACTAGGGCCGGGGCCGGGTTTGATAAAATTTAGCCGGGGCCAGGGCCGAGTTTGAGACCAGGCTGCATAAACATTTATATATCCTAAAGTATATTTTTTAAATTTAAAATTCATGCTATATTTTGTATATATATGCATATATGAACATCATTGTAATCAACATGACCATCATAATCATCATAAACATCATCATCATCGTCATCATAATTATCATGATCATCATTATCATCAACAGCCTAAAAGCGGAAAGCTTGACAATGATAATAAAAATTATGCTGATATTGTTGATCGTCATCATGATAATCATCATCATCTTTATTATGGCACTATGTAAGGCACACTCTTCAAATTTTCTTACTTCTACCACAACCATTTTAAACTGAAGCTGCTACCACTCTTCATGTAAATACCTAAATTACTTTAACTTTTTCTAAAAAAAAAGGTTGTTTGATACAACGTTTTTTCTAATCTGTCAAAGATTATGCCTACTTTTTATACCTTGTTATAGTTACACATCCATCAGATCATTTTCTCTTTCGACAAATACTACACCATATAAATACTAAAGTTTATACAACAATGAAAGGATATTGTATGCCAGCATCTAAACAAATAGCAAACAAACATGCTTATACCCATAATATGTGTGCAAAAAGTGCATCATTGAAGCTTATATTGCTTCTGGAATAAAAGTTTGGAAGCTTTTATTACTTTTTTTCAGTTTTAAATCAAGCCTCATTCTACTCTACATCTTTCAACATCAACTACGTTTTTCAGCTTTTTTTTAAGAACATCTCTCTTCAGAAAAAATTTTCCTTTTTATTATTGCAATTAGCTAATGTATTAATAAAGTCTTGTCTGATGTAAATCTTTGTTATTCTCAGTTTACAAAACCTTGTTTCTTATCTTACATGTTGATTCTAGAGACTTTTGGTTAATTTTTAACAGTGTTATTAACTAAAGTAAGTCTAACGTTTAATCTCTAACTTATGGCTCTCATCTTTTTACTTTACCCCAGATTAAAACAGAGCTATTTACAAGGAAATCTTACTCTAGTTTGACTCTGGAATATAACGGCCCTACTTGTCCTGACATTAAAATATTTTTGCTAAACTTTAAATTAATCCATTGTTAGACATCGAAATTACTCTAGCTTCCAACACTAAAACTAATTCTAAATTAAACACATCTACAATGAGTGCTTCAGACAAGATTTCCATCATAGTCTTAAAAAGTGTTCTCCAGAACTATCTAGAATTTTTGATAAACTTTAAAAAAAGTGCTAAATACGTGGTTCCAATTTTTCAAATCTCTAGAAAACACTTTGACCTTTCCAAGTATCCTATGATTCTTCTTCACTTTGTTATTAGTTTCTTATAATTTTCTATAAAAAAGTTTTGAGGTAATTAAATTACTTCTTTCTAACTACAGTAGTGAAGTTATTCTTGAAGGCCTACCCTATTTATTTCAAGTAACTTTAAGGTTCTACATTTGTTCCTGTAATACTTTTTGTCTACAACAACAATCATAATGAAATCTAAAGTGGCTCTATTTGCTGATGACTCCACTTTATACTCTTGTCTTGACAATAAATCTTCACTTTTTAATTGCTTAGAACAAGCAGCAAATTCTATATCTGATCTTCCTTCTGTAATAACCTAAGGCTTGCTGTGTCTTATGGATTTAAATTCTAGACTTAAAATCCACAAGTTTTGTTAGACAACAAAATGCATTTATTTACTACAAAATATTGCAATATTGTTGGTATTCCTATATTGACAAATAAAAACCCTATAAATATTATAATATATTATATAATAATAATAATAATAATATATAATAGTAATAACAATAATAAATAAATATATACATATATATATATATATATATATATATATATATATATATATATATATACACAGTAAATTTCCGGTTATTCGAACTGGCACTTATTTAAATTTTCTCTCTCTAAATATATATACTATGTATATATATATATATATATATATATATATATATATATATATATATATATATAAATTTTGCAACTAAAAATAGCCATACATTAATTAACTAAATAAAACTTACTTCAATAAGTGTAACTATAAATCATCAATTCAAATCATATAATGTACTTCGTTCATAAGATGCAAACCAGTTAAAAGCAAATCATTCCTCGATCTTTGATCCACCAGAACTTTACTAAATAAATTTATACTGGTAATCAAACTACCACAAGTCAAAAAATTTAGACAGTATTATTGAAATCAGCTTTGACCAATAGTTAATATTAGATTTTTTTATTGTTTACTATATAAAAAACAAAGAAAAGTTAAATTTGAAGAGAAACAAAACTATTCACAAACATAATTACTTACATTCTTCTTTCGAGTCCTCTGCAGTCGTTAAATTAAATCCTAATTATTTAGTAAAATAAATATAAACAAAATTATGCAAAAACAAAAATGTAGAATAAGTGTAAACAGATTACAATATATATCTAGGCAGTAATAATACCATGAACAGATTCAAAATATTACTTATTATGAAATAAAAATAAAATAGTTTATTTGATATAATACTTCACCGTTAATATAAAACTATAATAGTTTTTTTATTCATATAAAACAACTAAATTAGCAATGAGCATTGTAAAATTTTATGACAATCAGTTACTTTAACTCTTTTAAGTCTGAGCTTGTTGCAGAAATCATCAATTATAGGCAGCTTTCATTGCATGAACACAAGTCGGCCAAAATAACCATCCATCTTCTTTTAAACAAGATAGAACAACTGCCTTTGCTTCAAACCTAATGTATATGTAAATAATGTATATATAAATCTTTATATATACATTATATATATATATATATATATATATATATATATATATATATATATATATATATATATATATATATATATATATATATATATATATATATATATATATATATATATATATATATATATGAATATATAGTTTTTATGTGTATACACTATACACATAGCTGTCATGTTTTGAAAATGTTTACAAGTGGTATAAATTTTTGGAAAAAATTTATACCACTGGATATTTGTCCACTAAAATACCTCTATTGACTAAAAAAGTTTTTAATGATTTATTACTCTGAAAACTAACTTAAAAATGCCCAAATTTGGCCACTGACTGAGCTGAAATTTATTCTGTATAGATATACTTTTATATATCTATGTTTCTGTTGAGCAATTTTTAACAATCTTTAACCATTTTTCTTAACTTATAAAATGAAAGCAATTTAAAAACTTAGAAGCTTGGTGTATTTTAAGTTACTAATGAAGAAAAGAAAGTTTTTAAAATTATTTTTAAATGCAGGTTGGAGATGAATTTCTCTTTAAAATTCAGAAATGTCCTGCCAAATGGGAGAGGCTTCATAGGTCTGTATACAGATACTTAAAAAAACTAGTATACAAACTCTTAATAAAATAATAAATAAATGTTAAACTATATAAATATTAAATTCCTCATAAAATATTAAACTCTTAAATATTGATAATTATTCTCAAATAAAATTTTCAATAAAAATGACTAGACATGACAATATTTTGTAATTTAAAAAAAAAAAAAACATGTATTTATTATACACACAATATGCCTTTCTTATACATATATACATACATTATATAATTTTTAAACAAATTAAAAAATTTATTCTGTTAACAAACTTAATTTGATCTGACTTATTATGTTTTATTAATTTTGATAATATTTTATAAATGTGAATCGTATTAAAACTAAGTACTATTTCTAACTAAGAAATAAATATTTAAAAAAGTTGAGCATTTTATTAAAATCGTCAACTTAAAACAAAATAAAACATTGACAATAATAAGCTAAATAAATCGAATTTATTCTGAGATTTTGTATTATTTTATACCACTTGACATAAAATCTAAATGTTTTAAATTATTCGCAATAAAAATAGGTTACAAAATATAACTTTATTAAAATATATTTTAAACCATATGCATGCATTCTATTAGGTTTTCTTTGCTTTTCCATTACGGCAAATTATTTTTGTAATAGCTAATTATTGAGACGATAAATTTCAATGTGCCACTTCCTCAACGTTGTTAAAGCAACGTTGGCAAAGTAACACTTTTTCAACGTTTTATAATTACCACACTTTTAACGTTGGTTTATGTAACGTTGAATAAGTGTTGTTTTAAAAATATGTTAAATACGTTAAAAAAGCAGTTTTTAAAGTGGCTTTTTGCGTAAGTTGATTCCATGTTGAATAAACGTTTTATTTTGAGAGGCTAAATTACTTTACAATTTCAACGCTTACTCAACGTTTCAATTTACCACGATTTACTATACAAAAACAGACATTGATTCAACGTTGAAAGCACGTTGTTTTTGTGACTGTAACGCTTTTTCTACGCTGCGACTGGTTTTCAACGTTGATTCAACGCTTACATGTTTGCTGGGATAGTTTGTGGAGCATAGATCTTTTAGTTTATGGTTAACCGTCTTTCCTCGCCTTTAACGGATATCTTTTTATAGCATTTAGTTTATCTCCCCCCTCCCCCCGATACCAAATAAATAATGCATAATAAATATTTGATAATAAAGGTTAAAGGTTTACCACGAAATGGGTGAGTTTTGCAACATCGGTTAAAAAAGAGGCGCGATGTTAAATGCTTTTTAATAAACTACCTAACTTAAAAAAATGTTGTAAAATGGCTTTGTTTTTTGAAGAAGTAAATAATGAAATTTACATTTTGCTTACTTACTAAGTAAAATAAGTATTTAAAAGAAAAACATTACTTTTATTTTTAATAGTAAATCTTTTTTTTTTTTTTTTCAAATTACTTTTATCTAAGTTGCCTTTGCTAATTAGTTACTTATTCACATGTAAGTAATTTATTTTTATGATGTCCTTTTATTTTACTTTTAAAAGTAAGTGTTACATTTTTCAAACATTACATTTACATAAAATTATCTCAGAAAAGAACTTTTTTACATATAAAAAGTTAATTACTTTTCAATGTAAGTTTCGCGAGTAGGTAAAATTGAAATTACTTTTCAAAATAAAATTAATTTTTAACGACTTACCTGAAAAAATAATTTACTTTTTGAAGAAAAAGTAAACAATTTTTAAAAGTAATTTATTTTTACTTGTAAAAATAAGTTACTTTTTAAAGTAACAGTTACGAATTTAAGTAATTAAATTTTACTTGTAATATAATTTATGTAATAAAAAAAAAATTACTTTTAAATGTAAGTGAATTAAATATTTTAATATGAGTTATGTAAAAAATTTACGCATCCCTAATCTTATTCTAATTTATTTATTTACTTAGTTATTTTATTTTTTATGTTTATATACATTTTTTTTTCCCCTAATGTGAACAAGCCGCCTGATTTGCTCTTTCCTGTTATTTTTTACTTAATTAGTTTAAAAATAACTCTTAATCCTATTAATAATTATTGATTAATTACTTTAACAAATAGTTCTTTTTTAACTTTTTGTTTCAAGTCAACTCCTATACTCAATTTTGTTTTTAGTACATCTTGAGGTTTTTGTTGTCTTTTATTAAGTTGTGTCATATTTTTTTGTTTTTGTTTCTTTGTTTTTAGGCTTTTGTTAGTTAAATAAATAAAAATATTTCAATTAGTTTTTAATGGTATTATAAAAAATTTATCTTATAATAACTGCTTGAAATGTAAAATTTTAATGTAAACTACAGTGCTTAGTGATAAGACTACTGTTGTCTTCTTTTTGCCACGGCCATATTTATTTATACATTTTGGTATTGTAGCAATATTTAAACGCGATATATATATATATATATATATATATATATATATATATATATATATATATATATATATATATATATATATATATATATATATATATATATATATAAAATTAAAACAAACAAAAAAAAACTTTAGCTTGAAATCGCAATTCAGACTTGTGAAATCGCAAGTTCTTAAATGGTATTTTTAAGTAAGAACTTTTCTCAGTGCTGGAATTATTTTATTTATTGTTAAGACATTTAAAAAATAGGAAACTTCTCACAAAAAAAAGTAGAAAAAGAGTTGAACTACCAGCATATAATTTTTTTGTTTACTTTTACTTAATAAGTGGAGAAAAAGATTTTTTAGTAAATTAATCGGTTTAAACGCTCTGTAAAAGTTTCTCTTTTGATCTATAAGCAGTTTGAAGTTAAGAACACAATTTAACTTTATTTGAAGCAAACCAGCTGAGCATAAACAGTCGGATTGTAAAAAATCAAACTTTGAAGTGCGCAATTGGCCTTGCCCAAAAAAAAACTATAGGTGCCTACTATGTGTGGCGTTTTTTGTTTATACTATTTTAAAGCATGCACTCTTTTAAATATGTTTTATAACCACTCAATTAAACTTGTTTCTGTATGTGTTGTTATATATGTCGTTATATTATTATATATGTTGCTGTTATATACATAATATATTAAAAATTTTTACTTTTATGTAAAGTGTATTTCTATTTTTTAGTCAACGCTAGTTGTGCAGTGTTAACGTCTAATCAACCTCTAATTATATTATCCACCGTTGGTGCAGCATTATCGGGATGTATTGCATTTGTATGTTCATTTATCAGCTGTTTTTCTCTGTGCAATACAGAACATGTTAACACTGGATTTATTATTCAGCAACCCTCGTTTATTGCTGTTACTCCCGGTAGTCAATATAGACAGTTTTTCCAAACACCTGATCTTTTTAACCAGCAATTACTTTATGGAGGGCAAGCTCCGGTTAGCTTTGCGGAAACAGATAATTCTAATAATAACTGTTACTCTACTGATAGAGCGCCACTGATTGACAATCGTTGAGTTTAAAAAATAGTCGTCATTTTTTTAAAGTTGTTTGTATTTATAAATTTATTTATATCTCGAGAGATTTGAGAGAAACCTTAGAAAAGAAAACGTTACTTGAAATTTTTTAAGAATTTTTAAATTTGAAATATTTTAAGCATTTTTAAATTTGAAATATTTTAAGAATTTTTAAATTTGAAATATTTTAAGAATTTAAGAAGCGTTTCTTGAATTTTTATTTTTATAACAACAAAGTTTTTCTTGAGATATCTCTTCAGGGTTTTTTTTTGTTTTGTTTTGTTTTGTTTTAAGGTGTTAGGTTTTGATTCAGGTATAAAGATTTATTTTTATTTTTTAAAACAATGATAAAAACTTAAATATAAAGAAAAGTAGTTATTTTTTAAATACTATGTTTTTTTAAATACTACTAGCTAATGTTACTACGTATACATGTTATTATGTTTACATAAAATCGCCAGGATTTGATAAAATACCCAGTAACAAAAAATGCATTACAAAATCTCTGATCCACATAGTTCATATTTTCAAGGAACTCAAATAAGTTTAATAAAAACACCATATTTTGATCCATTTGAGTTTAAAATTAAAAAAGATATAAATTCTTTTTCTATATTACACTTGAACATAACAAGCACGTGCCAAAATTTTGAGAAACTAAAAGAATTTTCAGATATTATAAATTACACGTTCGACGTCATATCTCTGTCAGAGACTTCGCAAGAATCACAAAGTTCTTTGGAATTGAATTCTAATTACCGTTTGTCAAATTATAAACTAACTAGCCAACCACGAGGAAATAAAAAAGGCGAGTGATTAGGTATTTATATACTTGAAAAATATTATTTTAAAATAAAAAAGCAATTATGTATTGCAAGTACTAACTATGAAAGCCTTTTTATCAAAGTAATCAATCAAAAAAAATAAAAACATTGTAATTGGATGTATATATCGACCACCAAGTGGTAAAATTAGATCATTTTAAGACTTTATCAAAAACAGTATCATAAAAATAAACAATGAAAGAAAAAAATTATATATCATTGGTGATACAAATTTGAACGTTCTAACATAACACAAGTTTCCAAAAACAAAATCTTTTTTTGACATGTTATTTGAATACAATGTTTTGCCTGTAATTAATAAATTGACTCGGGTAAATAGAACTTTTGCCACTGCCATCGATAATTTTTTTTTATTAACAATTACTTAGAAACGTCATTTGAGGCAGGTATATTTAAGATTGATATAAGTGATCATTTTCCGGTATTTATTAATATAAAAAATGTTACAGCTATTTGGGAGGATCAACCTAAAAGTTTTTATCTAATAAAAAGTAACCTTTCATCTATTAATATAAACAATCTATCTCACAAATTATATAGAGAAAATTAGAGTGACGTCTGTAAAAGTCAAAATGCAAATAAAGCTTGTAATTTTTAAACAAATTTCAAGAGATTTTCAATGAAACTTGTCCAAATGAAGTAATAAAAATATAAACACTTGCTAATCCATGGATGGATTAAACCCTTATAAAATTCTCTAAAACCAAACAAAAGTTATACAATAAATTTCGAAAAAATTAAAAAAACACAGTTAATGAAAAAAATTATAAAACATACAAATACTTTTATACCAAACTGCTTAAAAAAACTAAAAAAATATATTAGAGCAAACAAATTACTAATTGTAAGTTAGATACTAAAAAAACATGGTCAGTAATAAATAATTTAATAGGGAAAAAAATAAATAAAACTTCTTTGCTTCCAAAAAGAATCTATATCAAAAACATTGATATATTATGCCCTAAACAAATATCTGAGGAGTTTAATAAATATTTTACAAATGTAGGACTTGATCTTACTAACAAAATTATACCAAACTCGTCAGCAACCTATAATTCTTTTAATGTAATTTACAATAGAATCTTTGATCATTTTACTAAAAACAATTTCTTTATTCGAAACAATTTGGATTTCAGAAAAATCATTAAACTGAACATGCGATTATTGAATTAGTTGATAAAATGAATAATGGCTTTAATGAAAACAAATTTACTTTAGGTATATTTATCGATCTCTCAAAAGCTTTTGACACTGTTGATCATTGTATGTTCCCAGTAGACAAGGACGTAAAAAAAGACGTCTTTTAAACGTCTTATACACGTTTTAGACGTCTTTTGAACGTCTGAACGTTTTGGACGTATTTTGAACGTTCAAAAGACGTCTTTTTTAGGTCCGGTGCCCACTGGGTTATTAGAAAAGTTGACGCATTATGGAATAACTAATAAGGTCTACTATTGAATTAAAAGTTACGTCACGGATAGAAAACAATATGTTCCAAATCAAGAATACGGAATACTTAAAATCCCGGGTGGAGTACCGCAAGGATCAATACTTGGTCCTCTTGTATTCTTAGTTTATGTAAATGACTTAAATAATGCATTAGTAAAGTTAAACCCAATTATGTTTGCGGACCTATTTCTTTCCAACAATAGTATCAAACAACTTTATGCAGAAATGAATCTTGAATTAGATAAGATAAATGACTGGTTTATGGCAAATAAACTCTCATTAAACGTTGAAAAAACAACCATATCTTATTTCATTAAAAAATGCAAGAAGAAAATCTTCCCCTTAAATTACCAGATCTATTTTTAAATAACATACAAATAAAAAAGCAAGACTATATGAAGTTTTTAGGAATACTTGTTGATAATAATTTATCTAGGCTTCCCCATATTAAATATTTACAATCAAGAGTTAGTAAAACCATTGGTCTGATGTACCGAATTCGTCCATATGTAAATACAGTCTAAAGTTGTACCGAATTCGTCCATATGTTAATACAGTTTGTCTAAAGTTAATATACTTTTCTTTTATTCATTGTTTCATTAACTATGCTAATATTTTATGGGCTAGTACACAATGATCAAAACTTAAAAAAATGCATAGTTTGAAAAAACATGCGTGTAGAATTATTTACAGTAAAAAAGAGGAGAGCGTACTAAACCCTTAATGAGAAATATGAAAATGATGAATGTATACGAAATAAATTTTTATCAGCACCTTATTTTCATGTATAAATATATTAATAACGTAACTCCAGCTAATTTTATTTGTAAGTTTGAGAAAAATTTAAATGAAAAGTATTTTTTAAGAACAAATCGATTAAATTCCTTTAAACTGGAAATTAAATAAATATACAAATTATTCAATAGTATATCGAGGACCTAAGTTATGGAATTCTTTTCAAAAAACTAATGCAAATATGGTAAAATCATTAAACTTATTTAAGTTTCAAGCAAAAAAACACATTTTTAATTTTGCAGAATAATAGTTCCAAAACAATTTTGTAAATTTATTCAAATGAATTTTACTTATTATTCTTAGTAGTTACTAATGATATACGTTTCTTTTAATATATTATTTATCAAATCTTTTTGTATATGTTGTATTTATTTCTTTGAATACCTAAAATTGCAATATAGTTATTGCAAAATATCTTTTTATTTGTTAAAATAAGTTTTTCTTGTTATATCTTTAGTTTATTTTATATATTTTTTATTTTTGTTACTTTTATATCTTGGATTTTTTATAACTCTTTTTGAATATTTTATAATTTTAAATATCAATATTTTATTATATTAAGGGGTTCTATGAAAAGATTGAGGTGATATTGTATCATCCATAACTTCTTTGAGTCCCCGTCTGTTTTTAAAATATTTTATTTACTGATATATACCATGCAATATTAAAGAATATTTCCAGATATACTTAAACTCGGAATCGGAACTTTTTGTTTTCTCAAAAATCTTCAAACGTGTGGTTTATAATAAAATCTATGGCTATTTATAAAATATAAATTTTTTAACCTAAAGCGCCTTTCAAAAAAATCATTTAACTGAACAGGCACTCGTTAAGGTTAAACGCTATTGGGTAAAAAAAAGAAAGCATGTTATTGAATAAAAAGGAAAGTAACGAATAGTAAGCAATACGTTTACCTAAAATGCCTAATATTCTGAGTGGAGTGTCTCAAGAATCAATCCTAGGCTCGCAATTATTTTTAATTTATGTGAATGATTTCAATAACGCATAGTACAACAAAATTCCATCACGTTTGCAGACTATAAAAATCTTTTCTTATCTAATTGTTATATGAATCATATAAGCAAATCAAAAAACAAGATACTTTAAATTTTTTAGGAGTTCTTTTTGATGAACATTTTTCATGAGTCCGACACAGAAAAATATACACAATTAAAATTAGTAAAATCATTGGTATGATTTATCGAGTTTCCTCATGCATAATACTATTAAACTTAAAATTTATATACTTCTGCTTAATTCATTGTTACATTGACGATGCAAATATTACGTGGGCAAGTTGTCAACAAACGAAGACTAATAAAACTAATTGTTTACAAATACATAAGAATATACAACAATATATACAACAAGGACAGGGGCAACTTTGCAAAAACTTTAAAGAAAAACATGAAAATGATGAACATATATTAAATAAAAAATTACCAACACTTAAATTTATTGTTAAAGCATACTTACAACCTTCCTTCTGTCTAAACTTTTATAAATAAATTTATTAAAAAATCTAAACGAGAAGTACTTTTTTGGCGCAAATTAACTTACCACATAAAATATCTGAAAAAAATAATAATAATAATGATAATAATAATGATACACAGAATATTAAATAACATATCCATTAGCAAAGCTATTGAACTCTATTCGCAAAAATAATTTGAGTATAGCAAATCATTAAAGTGATTTCAGTTTCATACTAAAAGAGACAAATGTTATTCAGAGTGGTAGCCCATCATCATCACAGCAACACACAAAGCGCCTATATAAATTGTTATATAGCGCCTATATAATACACAATGGTTGCTTAGCTACTATTAACTTGCAAGCCAACCAAATAAAAAAAACTTGAACAAAAATGAGTAATTATAGAAACAAACCTCAACTTTCAAACAGTCATCCAAAAAAGTTCACACCAGCCGACTCAGAGTAGTGTAGTTAGAAACAAGCCAATCTCCTGTCTAGTAGTATGTGCCTATATTACGTTATGGTCTAAAAGAGCAG